AGGAATTAAAAAGGTTTTCTGATGAGTAAGACCAAATTTGAGGTTTATCACCTGGTTAGAGTAGTGCAGGTGGGAGATTTAGGGAGGGAGACAATTAGTACAAAAATGCAATGGTGTCTCAGGGCACCAAACAGGAATTGGCTCCTGCTGTATCTACTAGTGTGCATCGTATAGGCTGTCGATTGTGTAGGTTTTTATTTTAATGTGGCTAAGTATTTACAAATTCATAAGGCTCCATCTAACAGAGGAGAAAGACAAACACCTTAGTACAAACAGGAAGGGTCTGGGAAATTCACAATATAAGATGTAACCACAGTCCCACCCTGGGCTCATGGCACAGAACAAATCTCAACTCCTGGGCAATAAGAAGTGGACCATATCGAATACAGTTCTTCCAGAAACAAGTCACAACTGCTGTGTCTGTATTAACATTCACTAAGCATTCACGGGTCTGTTTTTCTCACGGTCTGGCTGGCAACACATCCATGCTGGATCCAGGCACACCTCTCTAAGGAAATGAAAGCCGAGCCTCAGCCCCATGTTGTAGTGCCCTCTGCCTGTCCATAGGTTCTCTCTCCCTATTTCTCCCTGGACTTCCCAAATCCTTAGTTGGGGAGACACCCAAGGCCAGTTCCGTGCAGCTTCCACAAAGGCAACACAATCTATTAGTTCTATATTTTCATCAATGTTCCTTTCCATGAGAATTTCCAAAACAGTTACCATTTTATATGATTCCCTTTCTTTAAGCCATATGTGAAACACAGGAATAAGCCAGGGTGGGAGGTAAATGCCATTCTAGCCAGCCAGGAAATGGGGAAACACGTTCAGTTTCCTTTGTTTTCATGCATCATTTTATCGAAGAAAGATGGGGGGCGGTTAAAGAGGGACACTGCACTAATGATAAATCAAGTCAGTGTCGAAATAATGCTCGATTATTGAGTTTATCCAACCAGAGACAGACTTCTCATTGCTTGCATTCTGATGCAGACAAAACTTCTGGTAACAGATCTGCACCAGTAAAAACCTTATTTCCATGCCACGGATCACAAAGCAGCCTCCCGACAGCGTGACAACTGCATTATTTGCTGGTATAGATAAAAGAATGAGCGATTCCATGTTGACCAGCTCCGCCTTATGTACTAGAGATTAAAATGTCATAAACCTTATCATCAGAGTCCTAAAACATGTAGTGTCGGAACTGAATATTACCTCAATGAACATAATTCTAAAACCCCACTGGCAGTGGAGCATTCCAACAAGAGTCAACACGTAGGAAGCGCTGTGTGCTGTGTGTGCTGGGTAATACTAACAAACATTATCTCCATTATTCCCCACTAAGCCTATAGAGTCTATTATTAGCCCCATTTCATAGATAACTGGGGAGCAGAGATAAGTGGCTTGTTTCAAATCACAGAGGCTTTAAGTGATAATGCGGAGATAAAGATTATCTGACTTCAAAAGCAGAGGCTCCAATTGCTTCCAATTTCCAAAAGTCAGATTTCTAAATTAGTACTAATTCCTGAAATCCCCCCCTCTTCTTATCCTAGGACAGCCTCAGTAGAAAGACTGAAAAGATCTATGTGTAAGAGACAGAAACCGACACGTAGAACATTCAAAGGACGGTATCTTACTTACTGCACAAAGTAATTTTATGTTAAACTTCACTTTGGAGGCTCTTTCGCGTTTCTTCACAATCATCAAAATGTTCAGACTAAGATATTTCAAAATGATGAAGGAACCTCTCGTAGGACAAGGTAAAAAGTATCAGGCTTTTCTGCCCTCCCGCCATTGGGCTTGATGGTGGATCCCTGTGGTCCTGAATGCATGCCTGAAGGCGGCACCTGGAGTAGGGTGTGGGCCTATGTGGCTGGGATTCACCTGGGCTGAGACTGGGCTTTTAAGGGCGGCGTCAAGGCTAGCCAGCGGAATGAAGAGAAGAAGCAGAGAAGCAGGAGAGCAGAAAAGCAGAGAGAACACGAGAGAAGGCGGCAGAGTCCAGAGAGAGTGAAGACTTGCTGGGGGCTGGGAGTCCTGCCCGCCTCCTGGCCCCCCAGCACCCCTGCCTGCCGTGTGCCTGGTAAATCCCAATAAAAGCCTGCAAAAGCCACCGAGGGCTCCAGGACTCCTTTACCCGGTCTGCCGGATTAGAAAAGCTGCACTGTGTCTTCCTGCCCCTACACTCTCAAGACCAAATCCAGTCTTCACCCCCAACAATATTGTTCAATGGTAAATGCCTTTCCGTGGGTCAGCTCAGAGGAGGAACAAAGAGGGGAAATGTCATCTTTTCCAATGTTTAATCATTTCTGCACCAATGTGAGGACTTAGATGCTCCAGGAGAGAGAAAATGAGACTATCCCTAGCCTACCGTGGTCCTCGGGCTACACACGTGATCACTCCCATCTTCTTTGAAACACCTTGGAGGTTTCTTTCTCAGTGGCCTCCTCAGTTTGCGGTTTCACGACTTTTCAGAGAAACAAGCAGTTTGGTGAGGAGAGCTTGGGAGACCCAGCTGTGAAGGTGAGCGAATGTTCGGGCTGGGAAGGTCTTCCCCAGGGCAGGCTTCCAGGGTTGGGGGGTCCAGGAGAGAATGTAGGACGAAGCCACCTTCTTGGGCTGTGGCGCAGGAATTTCACTCCCAAGTCTGCTACAAAGGGGCAGCCCCTGATCAGACTCAACCCCTGATCAGACATCAACCCCTGATCAAACTCAACCCCTGATCAGACTCAACCCCTGATGAGACATCAACCCCGAAGACGAGCATCGTAAACTTTGCATAAAGTTGTAGAATCTGCCTCAGGATGATGCAGTGACACCCAGAATTAGTCCCAGGGCACCACACCATGTGCATTTGTTTCTACGTAGGAGAGGCAGCCTGGCGGCCTCCTGGCCTCAGCGATGGTCTCTTGTGGATTATGAAGAGTATCTCCTCTTTTCTAAGCAGTGGTCATACGTCTCCATTGCAGGGCACTTTTGCTGTAGCAAAATGTCTACACATACACACACACACACACACACACACACACACACACACACAGTTTGGGACACTCCTCACATGCCTAAAACTAGAAAAAAACACCACCTGCCAGCAAATCTAAAGTTGATGGAATCACTTCACTTGTGCTAAGCCTCACTTTTGTCAAACCTTGTCACACCAACACACAAAAACAAAACCCTAAAGCTTAATTTAGCAGTTGAGAAATTTCCAGAACATTACAACAAAATTAGTATTTTCTCTACTCCCGTGTCCCACCATCCCTCTGGGAGTCCCACCAGTACAGCATGGGAAGCCGCTCATATGGTTGAAGAAACATCAGCAAGGTCAGCTTTTGAGCATTTTTTAGGTCAGGTTTTAACTGATAGATTTTTAAAATACTCACCCTTCAGGTGATCGGCAGGAACATATAAAAAAAAAAATAGAGTAACTCCAAAAGTGAATAAAATCAAGTATCATTGGCCAATCAAAAATGGGCATGCAGGGCCTCCCTGGTGGTGCAGGGTTGAGCTCAGTGCTGCAAAGATGTCCGCAGCCCCTGCAGCGTGGGTTCGATCCCCTGCCAGCCAGGGAGATACTCACATGGCACAGCAGACCTCTCCTGTCTCGCCCGCTGCTCCCCTCAGCAATGTATTTCAGTCAATCTGGCTGTTCTGTTCCCCACTCTGTCTCTGGTGAATCCTCTCACCCTCTCGTGCCTCTGGCCTGTACCGTAGTTCTTGTATAAATAAATAATCTTAAAAAAAAAGGCATGCAGCAGCATGTGCCCACCGGGCGCCCATCTCTATACCGTCCCCCAGGAAGGAGTGCACAGAGGTCTCCTCCTGCAGGGGGTGATGCGCTGTTTGTGTTCCCAAGGGCAGGAGCAAAATATGCACCACTGGCCTATAAAGACAAATCACAGGTCGGAGATGTGGAAACATCCAAACCCCATGGCACCGTCGCGTTTTCGCCTGTGGCAGCCAACAATATTCTAATGTCAAATAGATTTACTTACTCGAGCTCTGGGAATGAAAAGATATGTGTCAAGTAACCCTTAGGGTTTCCTGAGGACCAACAAACTGAAACTTGGGGATTTCAGGCAGAAAACAGGCGGCAACAACATCCCTCACAAAACAGAGTCTGAAACTTCAGGTTTGCTGGAGAAAGAACTAAGGCAAGAGAAGCAGCGACAGAAAATGGACAGACACAGAACATGAAGACTGAAATACCCCGTCTGCAGTACCGGATTTCTTTTAAATCGCCTGTTCTCCGATGAATGGTATCGCCCCGTAGAGGCAGGTTTGGAAAAGTGCGGGCTTCTGCGATGTCCACGATGGCGAGGCCGGTGACTTGCATTGAACAGGTGGATCTTGATGCTACAATAGCCCTGTGGATAAGGCCCCTCCCGACAAAGACCTGCACCCATCAGCACAACTTCCAGTCGCCCTGCTACACTTAATTATGCAGACGGAAACCCAGTTTAGAATCATCTGAGGCTATAATCTAATTTCATTTTATGTATAAACACACAGGGAATTTTTAGCCCAGTTTTAACATGGGTTGGATTTTTCAGGAATGCAAGTATTCTTTAAACTGAACATTAAAGTGATTATGAGCAAGAATGTCAGAATCAGACTGCTTTGATTTTAATCCAGCTCTGCTGCGATTGGCTACTTATTCTTGTTTAACTCCCTTGTGAATATGGGAATGGCATCGCCCACCTATTAAAGTAGTTTTGTACCTAGAAAAATGCTAGGCACTCTATGCATGTAGCTATTACAGATTTCTGCTTCGTGTAGAACTTCATCAAGAAATGGCCGCATTTTACAAAATCACATTGCTGACAGCAATCCCGTTGCTGGTGTTGAGTTGCTAACACGGCAAGCCTCTATTGGTCTGCATTTGTAGATGCCACAGCCTGGTGATTTTATAGAGGGACACAAGTCTGTGCTTTGTTTCATTATTTCATTATGTCTCATAAAATAGTCATGCTGGAGCACTTACATATTAAAATAATTATGTCATTATAAAATACATTTGTGTTTTCTTATATTTCAGTAAGCACATTAAATGGATACCTGTGTCGAAAACTGACTACATCACTATTATCTTCACTTTGCAATAGTAAACAGGGGTGATGCCTTCATGTGTGAAGACAGCTGTCATCATTCATGGTTTTCAGTTTATTGTCATGATGTTATAAAATATTTATTGGAAAATGGGGTGGGTATTGGGTTGGGTCTGGAATCACCACTTCAAAGTATCCGCTCAAAGTGTGTCATCATTCTGCACTTTCTTTTGATAATACATGCCAAACATTAAACCTGGGTTACTACTGAGGCAAGCAGTTTCCATTTCTAAGAAATTAGTATTAAAATACTGTTTATAGACCTCAACAGTAGAGATACACAAAATTTTTTTTAGCTGCAATCTATTTCTCCAACACAATACAGGAGGAAATGCCAAAGAAAAATTAAAAGGCAGTTGTTGGGGGCGGCGGGGTGCGGTAGGCAGTCACTGAAGGTGAAGGACCCAGAAGTTTCTCTGGTCTTTCTTGGGGGCTTCAGAGAACAGTCTGAAAAACACCATTTGGTAGGGTCAAGGAGGTCAAATCAGCCCATAGTTAATACTGACTTCTGGAAATTCACTTTGATCACAAGTGGCATTTTCTCCACTGAGAAGGGGGTAGCCTCCGGCTGAGGTCTCCAAAGCTATTTAACTCATTACTCAGCTGAGCGACACCACTGATCCCTCGCCTAAATCCAGGAAGGGAGAAGAGATGTTGCCACCCGATTTTCCAGGCCTAAAGCCAGCTCAAGCGAACAGTACGTTGGGCGATGGCTGCCCCCGCCTTCCCCAGAGCTCCCTCCAGGTCCGGGGGGCCCTACTACCAGGCCTGCCCAGTCCCACCTTCAGCCTTATGCTGTGTTGTTCAGAACCCAGTGAGTCCCACAGTCCTGCCTCTTGTACCCCAGGTTTGCCAACATCCTTTCTATTTGCTGTGAAACACCGTGTCTCGCTGCGTTCCTGTAGAGGCTAAAGACAGCCAGCCACGAGTGATTGCTGGTTCTCTGAACCCCAGCAGGGGCGTTTTAAAGGGACGTATGTTGACTAATTCCAGGGAATCTCCAATTTATTGAATTTCAGGAGGTTTTAGCAAAGTAAACAACTTCAGGGGTGTGGGAGGAGGATATTTTTTGAGTAGGCACAGTTCTGCCTGGGAATTCGCCTCAGGTAATTCCCTGGATGTAATTTTACTTTACACATGGTTCCTCATTGCCCCATTTCCAATGCCAAAAAAATCCCAAAATGCTCGCGAGGATTTATTCTGTTTCTTAACAACGGAGGCCATGTGGTCACCCCGAGAACTTGACAACACCTGGGACACTCTGGTCAGCTTCACGTATGACGCAAAACAGAAACATTTCCATTCCACGTGACTAGGAGTAAGAAAAATATACAACTATATTTAAAACACTTAAATTAACAAGATAGTGCTTTTCCATTCTAACAAAATATCATACATTCAGTTTAAACAAGAGTTAATATCAGACACACTTTCTCAAAATACCTGATGCTAGTTGAAAATGAGTGACTGTGAGCCTCGCCAGAGGTTTCTAACTAGCAACATGTGGATAATTTTGAAGAACTGTCTGTTCTTTTCTAGAAGATAGACATTGAACAGCTCAACATGCAAACTGATGACTCTCCCCTCAGCCTAAGTACTGTGGCTTCACTTCTGGATGAGACTTTGGCTGTCAGCAAACCTTATAGCTTCTTTTTTCCTTAAGGACAACAATACAAAATGCTATGACGCCCCTCAAAATCACCATCAGCTTCCTCGCCTGGAATAAGCACCCCCAAACATGTTCACGGGTTTCCATTTTCAACTGACCTACACAGAGATGGTTATAAAGGGGATAAGAGGTGTAACAGGCCTGGACTTCGACTTCTGCTTTGCAAGTGCATCGGATGACTTGCCACGTGTCTTTGATATTTCAAAGTCAAAGCCGCTACAGTTACAAGTAAGTATAGAACTTGGAAAAAAAAAATCAAAACAAATGCGTTTTCTCCACTGGCTTTTCGGGTGAAGAAGTTGGACCACAAACCAACACAACTTCCGTGTGGCCATGGCCATGGCCACTGATTTCTGTCCCAAGACCTCTGCCATCCGGCCGACCCGTTTCACCGGGTGTCTCTGAGTTCCCACTCGGTGTCCAAACTCTCCCTCTCTCTCCGTCCACGTGCACAAGCCAGCACTTAAGATCCTCGGCAGTGGTTCCCATCCCGTATACAACTTCCAAAAACAACGCGCTGCGGTGCACAAGGCGGCTGCATCACACTGTGGCCGAGTCCTGGGGGCGCTCGCGGGGGACACAAGGCACTTGGTGGCGGGGGGCAGGCGGGGCGCAGGGCTCAGTGAGTCAACAGTTTGAGGCGCGTGAGCCAGCTGGCCAGCAGGGAAGGTTCTGTGGAGGAGGACTTGGCCCCTGAGGAGACACATTTCTTTTTGGAGCCTTCCTCCTGGAAGGGGATGGTGGCGCTGCCGTGCAGATCCGCTGTCACGCAGCAGTGGCTCCCACGGATGTAGTCTGCGCCCCGCACCAGGTGCCGCTCTGGCCTGGAGAACCGGCACGGGGGAGAGGTGCTCTCCTCCATGATGGGGGGGATCCTCTCATTGCTGAAGTACCGGCAGAGCGCGTCCTCACCTGGCAGGAGACAAAGCCCACCGGGCATTAGAAGGAGGAGGCACAGGGTCCCGGCCACCTTTGATGTCCCCGGGTGCCTGACCCCGCCAGGCCCTGCCCTCCCACCCAGCGATGGGCATCAGGCCAGGCCAGCCCCGCGGGTGTTTACATGGCAGACATGGGGAAGATCCATCACCCCTGAGAAGTAGCACAAGAACAGAGCAGAATCAGGGCAACCCCATTTATTTTCACCAGTGCAGTTTTTTCATAAATTCATATGCAATCAAAAAGCAGAGAAAAAGTCATGGAATTCTAGAGCTCAAGACCTGCAGCATGGAGCACCCTTAAGGAGTGTTATAAAGTGGGGTGCCTTTGGTTATGACCCTGAATGGAGGGCTGGCTCTATTCACCTTTAATCGAGGGGATTCAATGATTTTCATGCTCTGCAATGCTTGAGACATTTCTGAACAAGGAGAATGACCCCACCCTAAAAACAAGAAAACCCCCTGGCTTGAGGGGAAAGGGTGTTTAAGAAACTGAAAAAAATCTACACAGCAGGGCACACTGGCAACATGTAGTGGTCTCTGGATCCAGAAATTTCACTCCAAAAAATTGTGTCAGGATCTATGTACAAGGATGCTTACTGAAGCATTCTTTATAACTCGGGAGGAAAACAAAAATAACCTAAATATCTAACAGGAGCAAAATGAATCAGGAGGAGCTACAACCACAAAGTGGATTGCTAACACAGTTATGTAAAAAACACAGGTGGTTTAGTATTACTTAACATCTACTTCCACGTGGCACCTTTTTACTGGGTGTATAATATGTCTCTCTGGGAGTGAAAAGGAGAAACAAAACATTCAGAGTGATTACTTCTAGGCTGGGGAAACAGATTACAGCTGAGTTCTATTTTCTTGTTCCTTCTAGCTGATTTTCATTATAATTGTTTTTGTACATCAAAGGGGAAAATTTACTTTTAAAATATGCCCATTTTCAAAAACCCACATATTCTATGAGTCTGTGTGAGATGTACAGAATGGGCAAATCCATCCAAGAAGTGGATGAGTGGGTGTCAGGATTGAAGGAAGGGGGATAAAGAATGATTGTTAATGGATCTGGAGTTTGTTTTTAAATGATAGAATGTTCTAGAATTAGATAACAGTGTTAGACACACAACTACATGACTACACCAAAAATCACTGAATTATACATTTTAAAGGGTGAGCTTTATGTTGAGTTATCACTCAATAAAACTGTTACTTTTTTAAGTGCAGAAACCTTTCATTCTAAAATGAACACACATGAAAAATGTGGACTGGACCAAGTGTTTCTTCCATTTACCCATTTCACACACTCTTCCCAGCCCACCCCAACACACACACTGACAATATGTAAAGGAAATAAAAGGCTAAATCAAGGTTTAAATGGCTAAAAGAATGGCTATGAAGATGGTGACAGCTCTGAATCTAAACAAAGGACAGCCCTGCCACCTGCTGACTGTTCCACACATTTTCACTTGTCAGCTAAGGGTGTCCTGGAAGGACCTCAGACAAGCGACAAGAGTACGTAGGTGACAACCTCGACCAAGTCCCAGGAGATGTCAGGGGTTGATCACTTTGGAAGTTGGGCCTCCAGAATTTTGTCTTCCTTTTACTATGTCAAGTACTGACTGGACTTGAACTTCTCCCCTGCCCTTTGTATCAGCACTACAAAAGCAAAGTTACAATGCCCCGCCGGTGTCGATAATCAAAAGTAATCTCACCCCAAAGTGAGAATATTTAAAAACATCCTCCATAAGCCTACTGCAGAAACCAGTCAGTTTAATCACAGGGTGAATGAAATACAAATTTCTATCCCAAAAGTAATCACTTTGCAACACGAGAAGAATTTGGGAGGGAAAAAAAAATCCATGTATGTTCATCAAAAACCAAGTAGAATAATAATAGTAATCATAAAATTTAGGATGAGATTGTTTAACAAATATTTCTATCTGTTTAAAAATTAGAACATTAATGTCTATGGCTATTCAAAAGCACATAAGGCTAAATAGGAGATGTACAAACACTAACAGGGTCAGGGAATTCTGCCATTCTCCAAATAAAGAGGATGAGGACATCAGCAGCCCGCCTGATGATGAGCTGGGAATCGGAGGCACTAAATCTTCCCTCTAGTTACCACAGCACACTGAGGAAAAACACTGAAATGAGGGCCTGGATCTCCTGATGCCCCGCTTGGTGCTTGGGGCTCGTGTGAATGAGCTTACCTTTCCTCCCGTGGCCTCGAGGTCTGGCAAAAGGGTCCACAATCCCCATCCAGCTCCCATCGGCAGGCATTGACAAGGGCCGGGGTTTGCCTTCCGAGGGAGGGAAGGAAGATGACAGGTTGATGAGTTTAGGGATTTAGAGAACCCCTTTTTTATTTACAATGTAATCCCTCCCCCATCTTAGCCCTCGCTTAAGCTGAAGCACTAACGTATTTGAAAATAAGGAAAGCGTTTTTAAGCATCGTATTTCCAGAGCCAGCAATTAAGACAGAGGCCGGCTGAACTTGAGTCTGTGGGTCTACACAGCAAAAACATTCCAAGTTAAACCCAGGCCCTGAAAGTTAAAACGGTAACATGATCTCAGCCCCTGGGCTCCGATGCCAAGCCGAGTAATGACTCAACAAGGCTTCACTTGAGAGAGATGAATAAAGGTCTCATACTTAGAATTTCATTGAGGTTTATGTTTTCCTTGGATTACCCTTGATGTCTGCCAAATTCATCCAACAAGTCCATATAAGGAAGGGGGTGGGGGGAGAGAAGAAAAGGAAAAGGCAAGCTGGCCGAACAAAACAAACACTCGGAAACTTACCATAAGATGGTGTTTTTTCTCTCATTTTTGGTGGCAGAATATTGGTTTCCACGGAATACCCAGGCAACTGATCGGAATCAGCGATGGTAAATCTCCGCCTGCGGCTCTCCTGGTCCAAGAAGGAATTTGGAGACTCAGAACCCTTCCGGCCAAGCAATGCTTGTTTACACCGACTGGATCCTCCGTAAGCAGAACTGCCCTTCTCAACGCTGGAAAATAATGGGCCAGAATTAAGTTGCTCACAAAGATTCCCCTGCATTCCAGGCGACGCAGACCTCCAACATATAAGAAAACTGAAATCCCCCTTTGCCACAGGCGCAAAAGGCAATACTTTTTCATTGCAGTTCTCTCCCAAATACATACAGATCCTACTACATAAGAGTAGACATCATGATCCCACTAAAGAATCCATGAAATTTCTTCCTCCTATATGTCTACATGGTACTAATGTTCCTTTGAAAAAATAACTTTGGTTTCCCTGTTCTGTCCTGAAATGGAATCTTCTATTTACCGCAGGAATCACAAGTTAAGCTCTGGGCTCTCATGCCCAGAGCAGTGTCTCTGCCAAGATCCAGCAAAGAAGACACTTGAGGTGCAACGGAGTTGCTAGATTTGAAAATTATGTCAAAAAGCACAAAGGAGCCTTTATAGTCACCAACAGAGAATGTCTATTTTCTGGACTAAGCACAGAAACTGGCAAAAGTTGGATCAGAGATTCCAACTTAATTTTATCCAAATGTCAGTTTCTAATAAAACATAAAGGCAATTTCAGCTGAGTCCAAGTTACCAGCTGGTTAAAGTTTTACACTTAGTAAATTCCATTAGGTGACCACTGCTAGACAAAATACAGAACCAGCTGAGTCCAAAAATATTCTCAAGATTAGCCTTGCCTGTGAGGTGTCCCAGGTCAGCCCCCGGCCTGCAGGCACTTCCCCGGGAATCCAGCTCCTTCTCCACTTTTAAACTGGTATGTGTAGCTTCCCCGTTCACAGAGTTTTCATGACTCAATACTCATTCTCTGAAACCATTTGCATTTTTCATTCCCTAGTGAATATCCTTCATTAATGGCGTGCATGCGTGTGTGTGTGTGTGTGTCTGTCTCCCCTAAGTAGATTCGGTACTGGTTCTCTCACTACCTACAGGAGTACCCTTTCCCTTGCTATTGCTCCTGTGACCCCTCACTGAGGCCAAAAGGAAAATATTCTGGGCTGGAGGGAGAAAGTGTTTTTTTTTTTTTTTAAAAAGATTTATTTATATATGCATACAAGAACTGGGGTACTGGCCAGAGGTGTGGGGGGTGAGAAGATTCACCAGAGACAGAGTGGGAAGCAGAACAGGCAGACTGACTGAAATACACTGCTTAGGGGAGCAGTGGGTGAGACAGGAGAGGTCTGCTGCGCCATGTGGGTAGCTCCCTGGCCAGCCAGGGATTGAACTTGTGCTGCAGAGATTGCAGATAGCTTTACTGTGCTGTGCTTAACCCCTTGCGCCACCAGGGAGGCCCCAGAAGTGGGGGTCTTCCCTACATTTTTACAGAATGATGCACACAGCAGTCAGCAGTGAAACTTGTGTTCTTTATGCACAGAGGCAATAACCATCTGTAGCTTAAAACACATTTTAGATCCCAGGGTCACACACTCCGGCCTGTGGCTGCGGGGAAGAGCCCTGACTACCAACCAGAGAGCCCACTGCCCCAGAGCTGACTGCTCTACATGTACAATAATGTTTTGGGCAAACTGAGACTCAGAAGAAGAGAATGACACTGAGTCTTCTTTGTACCCAGGGAAGAAACTTAAGAAAAGCACATTGCTCAGCTTAAGGCAAAAACTCCAAAATAAAGTAAAACACCAATGTAAGTTCAGCCCGAACTTTGTCCTATGAAATATTATAGTTTAGGCATGTACTTCTCAATTTATCCTTAAACAGTTGACTTAAGACATGCGCAGTTCTCTGGCATCAAGAACGACATCTGGTTTGGGTCAGATGGAACCCAGGCCTGAGGCTCAGTAAATGCATGTTGAACAAATGAGCCAGGTGCTCTAGTCCTACTAGCACCAGTTGATTGGAGTTATGTACATTTCATACCTAAATGATCCTCTACAGGCCATCTATCAGCATTATAACATCTAACTTTTAAGACAGTCATTATAAAACAATGATCTTTTGGGCCTCCCTGGTGGTCAAGGGGTTAAACACCGCACTATGAAGCAATCTGTGGCCTCTGCAGCACGAGTTCGATCCCCGACCAGCCAGGGAGCAACCCACATGGCGGGATAGACCTCTCCTGTCTCACCCGCTGCTCCCCTTAGCAGTGTGCTTCGGTCAATCTGCCTGTTCTGCTCCCCACTCTGTCTCTGGTGAATCCTCTCACCCCCCGCATCTTTGGCCTGTATCCCAGCACTTGTATGTATAAATAAATAAATCTTTAGAAAAATAAATAAAAAATAAATAAAATAATGATCTTTAAAATTTTAAATAAACACCCCCCACACACAAATCCACACAGCACAAAGATGGAGGGCCCCCACCTCCATGCACAGGGCTTCTTTTAAAGTCCTATGAAGAACACATCACCCCCAGCAAAATAAAGCTGTAACTTTAATCTCACAGAAGTATTTATTCTCTTCCTCCCTGGACCATATGTTTCCATAAAGTGCCCCAACCACCCCCAAACTACACAATGTCAAGACCGTGTAACCTGGACCTGACTCTGCACTTTCCCTGGAGTTTTACTGAGACGTAACTGGCACGTGACATGGTGTTCCTGGAAGGTGTATCACAAAATGCCCTGGCCCGTGGAGACCCTGCAAGCCCCACTGTGAGTCAGCAGTCAACACCCACCCCCTCTCGCAGTCACATCTCTCGTGTGATGAGAACCTCTAAGACCCACTCTCTCGGCAAGTTTCAGAGCCACAACACACCAATTGCTAACTACAGTCACCACCTGTACACACATTCCCTGAAAGTATTTATCAAAGGTCCAAAAGTTTGTATCTTTTGACCCCCTTTATTTATTCCCATACCCCCATGTCTAGGATGCCACATTTTTTTAAAAAAATTATTAAATTTATTTATTTTCTTATATTGCTGTTCATTTTTTTGACAGTATTTGACTCTCCCCTCAGGTGCAGTCCCCGTGGGTTCTCCCACCACCACAGCAACCATGACCATCACCACTGTCCCTTGTGCTCGTCCCTCCCGTTTTGACCCTTCTACCCACCCTCCCCTGCGCTGTGCCTCAGCTCTATGGTCAGCTTGCAAGTTTTGTCTTTTTCCTAACCCTTTGTTCGGTTTCTCTATATTCCACATGTAAGTAAGACCACCCGGTATTTATCTTTTTCTTCTGACTTATTTTACTTAGCATCATCCCTTCCAGCTCCATCCACGTTGCTGCAATGGCATGAGTTTATCTTTTTTGATTGCTGAGTAGCATTCCATTCTGTATATAGGCCACATCTTCTGGATCCATTCACAGGATGCCACATTTTAAACCCAGTTCAAGACTCAGCCCTGTCACACTGGAGTTCAGCTGCTTCCCCTCTTGAGATCTGCAGGGTCTTCCCACCACCACTTAGAATCCCCGCCCATGCATGCACACCATGAAAGTGACAGGACTCACCGAGGGGAGTAGGGGACGGCTGGAGGAGGAGGGATATACAGATCCAAGATGGCTGGCTTCTCCTTCTTCAGCGAGGTATCCATAGTGCTCTCGGGGGACTGGGTTGTCGTGGGTGGAGGTGAGGTCTGAGGTGGGAGCAAGTGCAAAGTGGGGAGGTTAATGTGGAGGTTATTCTTATTGCTCAGCTTCTCTCTGTCCCTCCAAAACCAACACCAGCCCCCGTGTAAGATGGGCCGAGCTCAGTCATGAGACTCTCCAACTTGCATTCTGTTTTGACACTCTCAGAATTAACTGGGGCTGGGAAAGACCAGCTGCAGAATGAGAAGTAAAGGCTCAGGAGCCAGGTGCCTCTGAGCAAATCCCTTAAAGATCCCTGCCTCAGTTTCCCTCCACTTGCTCAGGAAGAGGTGCTTCGCCTGCCCTGTCCACTCTCCTCTCTGCCTCCTTCCAGACCCAGCACTTATCTCTGCACCAAGCAGCTGGCAGAGCTGGGGCACAGTGGGCACTCAGGTATCAATGATGAATTCATAAAGCCTCTATGAGATTCAGTAACACATCCTGGGAATGTCAACAAAAATTGAAGCTGCTACACCTTCTCCTGAGCCATGCAAATTGAAGCAGCAGGAGTGTGGCTGATAGGTTCAATCGTTTAAAAAGTGATTTTAATTACAGGCCCCTCCTTGCTCCAGCCTCCAAGTCCTGTCATTTATTTTCAGCATCCCCGTAAGTGCACATGTGGGCACCTTTCCAGAGCCCCGGGCATCTCGAAGTGTCTATCGATGGCTTGAGATTCACTTTGTTCTTCCCTTTACATATGTCTGATAGAGTCATAGTTACAAATAAATTACAACCTCTGTCTTCGAAAAGGACATTAAAATGTCATTGCTTTTCATTCCTGTTTTAGGCAATGATGCTGAGGATGGAGGGTACAATTAGGGATTGGCCAGTGAACTCGGTCCACCCAAGTGTAGGCAATAAAGGAAGTTTGGTAGAGAATTTATTTAAATACTATTAAATAATAAAGTTCACCAAAAGTTGGTCTTCCCATGTCTGGCAATTCTACACAATGTGCACCATATGCAATGATACAGCTTCCCGCGGGGGGCTGGTCCCCAACACCCCCTTGGTAAACAGCTGCTAAGGACTCAACTGCATGTGGTCCCTCTAGGGTCAGTGCTCAAAGTGTGGGAATTTCTAGAAGTGTGCATCTGCAATGAGAGGAGAAGGACTTGAATGGCCCTTCTGCAGTGAGGACTGACCATTGAGGTCACAGCCTCTGCACTGGGGCGAGGCTGAGGAAGTGAGCTTTGAATCCCTTTACTTCCCACAAATCCAGAATTAGATGCGCCCCTAAATAGGATTATGTGGTGATTTTTATTATGCATCTATAAGTCCCTGATACCAGCCACCTCCAACTGTTCATCCTTGCTATTGAGGACAAAGCAGACCTTGGACACCACCCACAGGCAGCTACAACTGAAGGCTGGCAACAGGTAACACACCTGCACGAGGGGTGGCTTCCACCGGAGGTTCTTCAGGGGGGCAGGAGTGAAGTTGAAAGACCCCGAGGGGCGCTTCTTAAGCAGTAACACAACTCCAGTAGGATTCTCTCTCAATTTTTTCACCAGGTTTTTTAGCTGCCATCCCACCTTCAAGGAAGAAAATGAAGAGAGATTCACTCACAAGGAATGAAAATCAAACCTAGGAATGTACAACAAGGAGTGGGTTGCAAGCAGGGAGAGACGAATATATTCATCTCAGCACTACTTAAAGTGATGAGAAATTGGATAACAATGGCTAATTTAAAAAATGCCAGCAAAATGACCTTGGACGTAGTTAAAGGTTCTTGAGGGGAATGTTCAAGTCTCACAGGGTCTCAACGAACAAACTCACCACAGTTTGCCGATTAACTTGAATGACTTCATCACCAGCGTGGATCTTCTGAGATCTGTCTGCAGGAGACTAGAAACAAAGACATGATCTTAATTCTCTAAACTTTCCACTTCTTTCTTCCTACTTTGGACAATGAGCAATAAAAATAAAAATTTCTCAAGATCATGTACTTGAGCTTCCTGAGGCCAGTCTGCAGAACCTGGCACGTGAACACCCATGTCACCTATCTGAGGATGACAGGTTATAATGGGTCATCTCTCCCTCTCACAGCTCCTTCATCTCACCTACCAGAGAGAACAGGACACACAGCTGACTGACGAGCTGTGGAGAGAGCCCCTGGTTCACTAAAAGATACCTTACATTTATCCCCATCCAAATCAGTTTGTAAAAGGTGACCAACTGCTTACCTTGAAAAGCTCATCCATTTCCTTTCAAGTGATCATTAAAAGTAAATTTTATTTTGATTCAACCTTGTTTTATCACAATGCTATGAAAAATGGAAAAGACAGGACAATATACAATCTATTTCTTTAGGGAAAATGAATTTCACTTTTTTCTTTTTTCAGGTAAAATTCAAATGAGTGCAGTTTCATTACCAAAACACAGGTTTGACTTCACTTCCCCAAAATGACACTTGTCCATAAACTTGCAAATGTATGCACATAGACCTATACCGCCACAGGTGTGTGTATAGATAGGTTGGTACAATCTCCTTGTCAGTCATTTTGCCTATAGTATTGTTGTTTTAATCAAACCAGTACTGTTTATGTTTAAGATTATCTCTTATGACCAAAGACAAGGAAAGGTTCAAATTATAATCAAGTGTTATCTAGACAGAGTATTTTATTTGGTAACTTATGTAACTGGCTGAATCTTCAAGAAAACTTACAACTATCCTTTAAAAATAGCACCTTTAAACACAGGGAGGGAGAGAGCGACCAAACTCAAGACACACGTGCTGAATTTCTCACCCAGCTGCTATGCTAGGCTCCTCGAGAAATGAGCCAACTGCATCCCACTGTAGAAATCCTCCCTTTGACTTGTGCAGGTCCAATTCAGGGCACAGAACTGTGGCCATTAATTTTAAAAACACTCAAAACTGCAGTCATAAGCACTAGCAGTGCCTCTCCTGAGAGATTGGCAAGGTGGGCATCACAGGACGCTGGTCTTCTGAAATCCCTTTCTCTCAAGGTGCTTGACCAAAGAAAGTAGCAATGTCTGTGAGCTCTTTTCTGCCCTGTGTGTCAGACACTCAACCTGTCCTCCCCTGCAAGTGAGCTGCACTTCATGAAAGATGGCGCCGAGGCCAGAAAGACCCTGGTGATGGATGTGCAATCTTATAAAACAAGCCCCAATGTCCTGAGTTGACTCCCGTGCTGAGGCTCCCCGTGCATTCATTTCATGCATTCATTCCTCAGATGTCCCACCAAGGATTACGGCTGTGCTTGGCAGCACACCGGTAAAGGGAGAGCTTGATACCAAGAGTCTCCCGGGTGCGGAAGCTCTTGCCCATCTTCCCCATGAGCCAGACTGTTGAAAAATGATGTTGTTTGGTTTGCTGCAGGTAACCTGGGGAAGAAAGCAGCCATTCTTCAGCAGTGAATCTAATCGTACTTCATCTCTGGGGTGGGGAGTAGGAGAATGGATGGACTCCCATCAAGACTCCTGTCAAGGTCTTGAACAACATCAAAAGAGAAATCAGATAGAGAATCGCCAGCTACTATTCGGCTGACCTTGGCAATGTCCTGGCTTCTCACCTAACCTCCAAACAAATGGATTGGAGGCCCGAGGTGGCCTGCTGGCACTGCTTCAGTCAAGGGACGGCTCAACAGGAAGACAATTTGCCCAGGACTGCAAAGGCTGGTTTCTATGCACCACCCAGCACGGGGCTTCCATTAAAAGGTTCTGACTCTGATGTCATAGTGACCCTGAGTGGTGGCTGGAAAGCTGCTCTGAGCTGGCATTCTGCATTCTCTGCCCTTAAAGTGTAAAACAGCCAGCATTAAGTACAAAATATCCAGAGTAAGCCCTTGAGAAGTGGGCTCTTCACTAACTTCTCACTTCATCTTTAAGACTTAGCAGGAGCTCAGCATGTTCTGGGTACACAGTGAGCACAAGTTGAATGAACGAAAGGGTAAGTGACATTTTCAAATGGATGAACAGATGGAATCAGATAAGTGTTCCCTTTTTTGATCTTTAACAACATGGAAACCACCTCTCTCTGGGATGTCTTATGAACATCCCTGAGTGGGGACACTAGGATCAAATCTTTTATTCAGTCTATGGGTCTGGTAGGAATTCTGGGAAGTATAGCATTGCATTCGACATTTCACTCAATTCAAAAGCAGCCTTGTTTTAGCCTTTCATTCAATTCATATCCTTAAAACACAAAGCTGGGGGTATGGGGGGGGCATTGCTGAAGAGAGAAATCTGTGTGCCTTCTGGTAGTAATACCATAGTGAGCTACACATTTACCCCAGATGAAACTGCTTCAAGAAGACCAGAGAGACGTCTGATTGCTAAACAATGCAATCACCAAATTGCTAAATGCATAATCTCAACCTTTCCAAAACTAAAACCATCCTTCTGAATCCATCCAATTCCAAAACAAGGGGCTGAGTGGTACACGAGTATGTTCTTAGGACGATTCAGCTAAACTACGCAAAGTCTCTGAGAAGGGCTGTACATTGTGTGGCCTTTTCTTTTGCACCATCCCTGGTCCTAAAAACAAGATGGTCTATGATATTACTCTCTATCGGGTGACATGGTAAACGTTCTTAGTTGTTCTCAACAAAGAAGGCTTAAAAACACTACCATCTTCTACGCATCCATCTGGCAGAAACACACAACATATATATAATTCACTGACGTCTTTAACAATGTCATTGTTTTCTTACAATGTCACTGTTTTTCTTACTACAAAAAGGAAGCTATGTCAAAAACACTCACTAAAGATCAGGCCATTTTAGTTTATCAAAAGACCTATCAACACCCATTTTCCACCAAACAGATTACAAAAGGAGTTACTCAACTTCTTATTTTTTTTTTAATTATTTCTCCCTGTCTCCATTGATTAAATAGTGGGTTTATTCCAAAGACACAGGCTGCTTTTACACAGATCTGGAAAAGCTATTGAAACATTTTGAACTTTACATCATTGCCATTCAAAACTTGGCCATATAGTAAGTTATAAGAAAAAAATCATTCAATTGCTCTATGTTTTACAAATTCAAAATATCAGAAAAACCTTTCATGTAGCAGAACTTTTGAAAGAAGGGAGAAAACAGTAGAAGGAGCCTTGCTTTTTCTATACAAAGCACTGGGGGAAAAACAAAATTTCAGTACCATGCCAAATATTACAAAACACAACTCTATAAACAGAATCTGTGTCATGCAAATATCCCAAAACTTCTGCTTTGGTGACACATATAAATTCCTTTAAACAAACAAAAAAACATATTTCACACATATGGCCACAGATTCCAGTTCTTCTCAGAGCGATTCTCAGCAAAATTAGGTCATTTTGTTGTATTTATGGGTTGCAACATCCAGGAAGCACAAGGAATGATTAATACAAGAGTGAGGGGTCAAAATTGGGTGAGGTGTGTGAACAAGAGCAATCCAAGACAATTTAAATAATAAATTGACAACAGCTGGTATTCACTAGCAACAGAAGTAAACAAAACAGACAAGCAGGTCGCTCTCACTGCAGATAATAAAACAGCCTGCATACATTTAAATGCAAAGTACAGAACCTCCGCATCAAATCTGTTTAAACACATCACAGTGTTTGCACTGATGGCTACACACTCACGTTTTCCGTGGTCCCGGTGATCACGTGCAATCCATCGTAGGTTGATTTGATGTACATGCCCTAGAGTGAGTCACAGACACAGTAACTCATTACTCCAATATTTAGGAATACAGCCGCGAGTGAGACTTGAACTTACAAAACATTAAAGGCAGACCCTTCAGAACAATACTCATATTTAAACCACCTGAGACCCAGAGAAACAAGATCCGAAAGTGGTGAAGGGGACTAGACAACCCGCAATACCAGCCAAAGAAATGAGCGGTGAGATCTCCCTGGTAGTGTAATTCCTGGCGCAGGGGCACCAATGATCCACAACTCTGGGGACTTTGCACCCCTTTCAGACTCGCAGTATGAATGAGGCATTGTGAACAAGGCTGGGTCTCCCCTGCCTACCTCTGTGCCCAATGGCATCACCAACTATTCAGTTCAACTTGGCGTCAGCAATCATGTCTGAGTGACTTATACGAGCCACGAATAACCCAGACCAGGATTTACGAGTGAGGTGCATGAGTGTCGGAGTGGGAGGTGTGTCAGAAAGAGGAGCCCCTCCATGTAAGGGAAGCATAAAAATAATTCCATTCCTCTCTAAAAGGCCTGACAGGTGGATGCCAGATCACGAGAAGACACTTGTGAAATTTAACACATCGCATCTAAAAGCAAGCTTAAAAAGCTTAGCAAAAAAAAGCTTTTTAGCTAAGCTTTTTAAGATGGGGAAAGAGTACAAAGCAGACGGGACAAGCTAGAGGTGTACCCCCCGGATTGCATATAGTGATCCCGCAGCTCCTCCTCAGAAACAATTCTGAGCCTGATGTTGCCCTGCTCTGTCACGAGAATCTCCTCAAAGACTAACGCCTTCAAGGCTTTCCCCATTTCTCTCCTTTCTGGTTACTTTCTGGGGCAGAGTCGCCAGCTTCTTCCCACACCCAGCACTCCTCTCCCCGGGGCATCTGCTGGTCTAGCCAGCCTTCTGAAATGCCACCTTCATTTCTGCCCAGTCGGCGCCTTCTTCGCTTCCATGCTTGACAGTAATTCAACGACATCTCCCCGACCTCATCTACTGGAGTCCTTCACTTACTCTGCACACTGCGGTGTCAGGAAGCACGTGTCTGCTAAGAATGTGGGCTCAGAGACACTCAGTTGATCCATTTTTCTGTGTGAGCGAGAGGCTACAGCGAGAGGCTGTCTGCAGCCCACAGTCACTACCCATGAGCTCCTCCTGCTCCCCCCCCCGGCCCTCCTTTCCTTCCTCCTCATCAACAGCAGCAACAACAATTGCAGCCACCAACAATCGCACATGTTCTGTGCGTCCAGCAAGCGGTGCTCGGTATTCATCCTCTAACCTAACAGCTTTCAACCACCCTAGGAGACCGTTATTGTCCACGCCTAGCAGCTTGGGAAACGGACAGGTAATGAGGTCCGGTCTCTCGAGAACTGGGATTCAAACCCAGCCTTCTCTGACTCAAAGCCTCCAGGTTCATCAATGGTCTGATGGTTTCTTCACTTCAATTTCAGCAACATAATCCCAGCAGAGGCCTGCTAGGGCCTGGAGAGCTGGGCATCCGGGTACTGACCAGGCAGCCAGGTAGCGACCTGTGTGTATTCTCGGGATCTGCTGTTACACAGCTCTTGCATTAGTGATGAAACTTGTTTTTTTTTCATTTTTTAATGTATTTTTTACATCATTGTTCATTTTTGCACAATGTATGCATTTTTATCTTGGTTATAGTCCCCATACAATTCCCACCCCCCACCCCCGTAGTGTGTCTGTGGTTTATAGTTGCTTTTTCACTTTATTTTATTTTTACTTTATTATAATTAGTCTTTTTCCTGGTCCCTTATTTAGGTTTTCTAAATTCCTGCTATGAGTGAGACCATCCGGTATTTTTCTTTTTCTTTCTGGCTTATTTCTCTGAGCATGATCCCTTCCAGCTCCATCCTTGTTGTTGCAAATGGCATGAGTTTATCTTTTTTGATTGCTGAGTAATATTCCATTGTGTATATCCTTTTCTTCCCACCAGCTTCTTCTCACATTCCTGCTAAGTGCCAAGAGAGACGTCTAGGACGATGTTGTTTTGAACCCACAGAGCATTTTTCCTTTGTGTAAATGTTGCCTATCACCCTGCATTCCTCAGCCTTGTTTTATTTTTAAAACGATTAAGGCAATTCCTTCAAGATATGAGTATAGAGTTTTATAACTGTATTTATACTTATATTTTGAAGACAAAACATTATCAAGTGAGTTCAAGATGGCAAATCCCTAAATACATAGTGGAAGACAATTTCACTTAATGCTACCACTAGGACTTGGAGTATTGAAAGCAACCGAAATTTTATTTTTCAGTCTTTCATAAATGCTGATGGGTTATTATTTATAACTAAAACAAGTGTTGCCCACATGCTCACCAGGCCTTCCCCGGGCTTCACGTCTGGCAAGTGTACCTCCTCCAGACACGCACACTGGCTCATCATAGGATCCGCCGCGGATCGGATTGTTTTGTCGCAGATGCCATTCAAAACCTTGACCTGGAGTTGGGGAGACGAACAGTCAGGAAACGTTCAATCATTAACCGAGTTTATCTCAAGCTGAATTTTAAAGAAGTGCACTTCACCTATAATCTTCAGCTCTGGCTGGCAATCGTTTTGATAGCACTGGTCAATGCATGCATGGCATTCGGACTCCAGATATGAAACAGCACCAGGATTTCAGCATTGTTTAAAAAGTGCACCTCATATTCAGTTACGACCACTGAAGAGCACAAGCAGGCAGAAGCCCCTTTCAGCAGTTACAGAGAATCACCTGTTCCCAGTCATCTGTATGGCTGTTCAGTCTTTGCTTTCACATTCTCTGCATACCAAATATTGACAAGGTAAAAAAAAAAAAAAAAATTGCCTGCACCTGTTTTTTTCCCTTTTGAATTGCTTTAATTTCTTTTTAAAGCAATCTTAGGTTTACAAAAAATTGGAACTGAACGTGCAGAATTCCTGTGATTTCCCTCTCATCTCAACACAGGTAATAACAACACAATATAATTAATATTTTGCATTAGTGACACACTTATTACAACTGATGAGAGATCATTGAGACTGATGGAAAATATCAAGACATTTTTATTAACTGAAGTTTGTAGTTTACATTAGGGTTCACTTTTGTGGCATACAGTTGTATGGGTTTTAACAAATACACAATATCGTAAGATTGCAATATAGCAGTGTCACTACCCTGAAAGTCCTCTGTGCTTTACCTATTCATCTTTCTCCCTCAACTCTAGCAATTACTGATCGCTATGGTTTGCCTTTTCCAGAACATCAAATAGTTAGAATTATACAATATGCAGTCTTTTCAGATTGGTTTCTTTCATTTCATAGTAAGCATTTAAAATTCCTCTATGTCTTTTCTCGGCTTGAGAGCTCACTTCTTTTCAATGCTAACTAATATTCCATTGTCTGGCCATACCAGTTTGTTTACACGGACACCTACTGAAGAACATGTTGGTTGCCCCCAGGCTTTTCACAATTATGAACATAGCTGCCACAATCAAATATTCTGAGCAGGTTTTTGTGGCTGTAACTTTTCTATTCATGTAGGTAAATTGCCAGAAGCACAAGTGCTGGATCGTAGGGTAAATGCACGTTTAGTCTGATAGCGGCCCCACCAGCTGCTCCTGATGAAAGCTCCTATTCCTCCACATTCTTGCAGCATTTGGAGTTGCCATACCTTGAATAGCTGTGTGGTGCTATCTCGTTTTAGTTCTTAATTCCCTAACAAAACACAGTGTTGACTCTCTTCTCCTATACTTATTTGCTAGCCGTAGATCCTTTTTGGTGCAGTGTCTGTTCATATCTTTTGCCCATTTTTTAATAGGGTTGTTTATTTTCTTATTATTGAGTTTAAATGTTTTGTATATTTTGGATACAAGTGCTTAATCTGATACATGTTTTGCAAATAGTTTTCACCAGTCTGTGGCTTGTCTTTTCATTCTCTTCACAGTGCATTTCATGAGTGGAATCTCTGAATTTTAATGATGCCTACCTTAACAATTTTTCTTTTATGGATCATGCTTTTGATGCTGTATCTAAAAACTCACCGCCAAATCCAAGGTCATCTAGATTTTGTCCTGTTATTGAGGACTGTTATAGCTTAGCATTTTAAATCTGGGTCTATGATCTTTTTTACAACTGCCCACATTCTCTAAACACCAAACATAATCAAAGGAAGATTTCGGAGACAATATGACGATTTCTATTAAGTGGTCTCCATGTAGAACTCACAGGGGTTACATGTGGGTACTTCCTCCATCAGCACCATCTGACTTTTCCAAATTAAACACCCAAATAAATCAGGAAGTTCCAAAGGGTGATTTTTTTCCCCTAAGAGGGAGAATCTAAGAAGTGATACTTTTTACATTCCTTCAATTTGTTTAACCTCCCTATTTATGGAAAATATATTTTTAGCAGTTACATCGCTAAATTCCTCAACATCAAGAGGAGGAAGGTCTTATCAAAAGAGCACAGGCTGGCTTATGTCAAAAGGAGGAAGTGATGATGAATCGTTAGAAAATGCTCTAGAAACAGCCACAGTACACATACCCGCCTCCATCAGAAGGTTTGTGCCAATTGTTTTTTGATACAAATGGTCCTGATATAAAATCTGCAGATCGGTTTGTCCCTGATTAACAAGCTAACTAGCAATTTAAATATAATTATACTCTGATGAAATGTTTGGAGGGAAAAAAAGCAAAACAGAGGACCCCCCCCCAATTTAACTAATTTAAGCACAAGAATTTTCTCAGCAGTTGGTCCTGTTGTTGCCTAACTTTCATTCTTCTCTTCTCACCTTAATTAAGATTCCTATCCCAAGCACCAATATTTTAAAGTCTATCTTGAGTAATTAGTCAAAGTTCAATTATATCAATTCATGAGGCCCCTACTGCTGTTGGAAAAGGAATTTGGTGATAACTTTGCAAAGGTACACCTACCACAGCTAAAACTTTATCCTCCATTTCTGCTATCAGGCAATCCTAAAGAAGGGAAGATGAAAAACAAAAATAATGGAAGAGTTAATAACTTTCAAAAACGGTTGGCTTAGCTCGCTAGACATTTCCTGGCATCCAAGAAGCTCCAGGACTCCCCTCACCCCACCACCACCCCGAAGTCTGAAGTTCTGGAGGGACAAAGAGGGCAGGGAGGGAACAGAGGGGGCATCACACTCCTCCAGGGCCCTGTTTGCCCCAGACCCAAGAAGTTTATCACCCCCAGGAACCCATTATCCAAAAACCTACAAAAATCATTGAACTGAAATCTACCTACTGTCCAGTCTACGCAGAGAGAAGTAAACCAGAGTCAAGTTCAAGCAAACTAACAAAGACTCCAACGCAACCAGCTCAGCCAGCCTCAAGCCAACAAGCCAGGAGGCTTTAGCTCTGAGCTTGCCTATAAGAATAGCTTTCAAATAAGAGCTTGAGTATACTTAGCCACAAAAGTTTATTTTAAGCACCACTGAGATTAAATCAGATATTTCAGTCCTTGATAGATAAAAAAGTTCAACAAAACATTCATTAACACACTGCCAAGAAAGTGGTCTTGGGGTATGCTATTGATGACATTAAATAAAGGGCTGGAATGCAAAGCATTATTTACTCAGCTCAAGAACAAAAAGGTAGGAACCCCATGCACCCGGGTGACTGATTATAGAACTAGCCATTGTCCTGACTAAAAGCAGCTGCGGTGAAACCACCAACATGAAAATCTCACTGTCGACCTTCTAGAACTGTCCATAGGAGGTTTCGATCTGCACGCAGAGTCCATGCAAGAAAAGGGACACTGGACAGTCCGTAGGTTATTCGGCGCGATTAAACATAATCCCAAATTGGGGCACCCTAAGGAAAACACCAGTTGTTTCGTGACCATGAAAACTCTTGCTCAACTCTGCGGGAAGTGTCAGAGTTTCACTCCAATCAAAAGCCATTTTAGGTCATCTTTATACTACTACTGAGGGTGGGAGTGGAAATGGCTACCAACTTCCACCTCATGAGATTTTAGCACCAGACTTTCAGTGGCTTAAATGTCCTCACAAACGCTCTCCGCTAGGTGAGAATGTCAGAAACAATAATGGTAACTCCACCACGGCCAACATGTATGTGCCTCGCAGCTGAGAGAGAAAACACCCCTAATACAGATTTCAAAAGGCACCTTTATGGACAGGCCTCCGAGAGGAATCCAAGCTCCAGGGACGACAACTGCAACTCTCACTCAGTACACATCAACTTAAGAAAAATGCATTTCATGGGGTCTTATACCAGACATAAGACACACAGTGGGGGGCCTCCCTGGTGGCCTGGGGGTTGAGTCTCAGCACTATCAACACTACGGCCTGAGTTCAATCCCCGGCCAGGGAGCTGACCCACAGTGCGCAGCAGACCTGTCCTGTCTCCCCGCTGCTCCCCTCAGCAGTAGATTTCAGTCAGTCTGCCTGTTCTGCTCCCCACTCTGTCTCTGGTGGGTCCTCTCACCCCCCACACCTCTGGTTTACACCCCAGTTCTTCTACAAAATAAATATTTTTTTTAAAAAAAAGACTGACCATGGGAGCTTGCTGGACGGAGCCCACCGGTGAGCGGAGCTCCTGTCGCGCCACAGGGCTCATGTCAGCGGTGAAAGGGTTCCTGCTCACCTTCCGCACCGAGAGGTGGGCTCCCACACCCTTGAGGCTGGGAGGAAGCAGCTGCAGGCTGACTTTGCCTCCTTTGGCATCGAGGGAATGGAATGGGGAGCCGTGTGGAAACGGCCCGCGGGAGCCAGGCGAGGGGCTGGGCTGTCACGGCCCGCGGTCACCTGGATCAGCAGCCAGGCGGTCACCTGTCCCCTTCGCAGTGGCCAGGGCGGCGCTCAGCACCTGTGCCCTCTGCTGCTCTTCCTATGTCCCATCACTAGCACAGAGCTTTGCCCCGCGCTCTGCAACCTCTCTGTGCCTCTCGGGACAGCAGGGATGATTTCTAAAGGGACCAGAGGGGTGAGAAGTGAACGTGAGGACACAGGTGCAGCCCGTGGGGACAGGTGCAGGCCTCTCTGGGCACAGGCAGCTCTGGGCGCACATCGGTGGAGGCTCCTCCTCTCTGCGCGCGGGGCGGGCTCTCTTTGCAATCAGTTTCTCGGGCTGACCATTGCTCACGTCCCCCGGGTCTTTCCACACTCAGCAAAGGGCCCCTGCCACGGTCATTTCATCTCTCGTGACTCCAGGAGACATTGAGGTCACAGCCGCCTCTGCTGCCTTCATGGGAAACTAGCAGAAACCAGACAGGGTGGCTCCGTGCACTTGGGATGCGACCGTGGCTGCAGCAGGCTGGGAAGGCGCGGAGGCCTCTCGCGGGGAGGAAAGCAGAATCTGGATCCTTCCAGGGGGAGGTGCCCAGGTTATCATTCAAAGGAAGGAAGAAGCAAAGCAGCCAAGGAAAGAAGGCACAGAGTGGGGGGGAGCGAGGCGAGAAGGGACGCGCAGAGGCAGCAGCAGGGAGAATAAGGACTCGGGGAGAACCTGCTCCTGTCACTGGGAAGAAACATATGACCTTGTTCCTTCAACTCCCAGGCAAGAGAGAGGAAAGAGAGGGCCGGTGCCTGCCCAGAGAGTCAGTGGCCACAGCGAGAGCGCCCGGCCCACCCTCAGGGAGGACGGAGCCGGGCAGCAGGGGACGCCAGGAATTGCAAGAGTGTGGAGCGAATCAGGACTGGGGAGAAGCCCCCAGGAGAGGGGCCGCTGCAGGAGAGACCCAGGGCAGGAAGACGGGAGGAGGCTGGTGGGGCGCAAAGGTGTGCAGGAGAAGCTGCGCTTGCCTCTCGGCCTTCCACTGTGCCAGGGACTCGGGGGACACGGAAGGAGACACTTGAAAGAGACAGAGACGTGGGTGACGGGCCCGTGAGGAGGCTGACAGTGGCGGCCCCCGTCTTGATTTTGATTTTGCTCTTTTCCTTCCAGACTTGCCCGGCCCCTTCTGCCCCTGTCCTGTGGGCCCCCCAGAAGGTGCCTTAGGCTGTGGTGGGCTTTTGGGCCTCCGCGGCCCTGCTTTGGGCTGACCCTGTCTGGCTGGGCATTTGCCCACAAGGGGAGGGATAATTATGGGTGCTTGATTTGAAAACTATTTTCTTTCTCTTCTCTGTATTGCACACCAATTGTCTCGACTGCACCCCTGTTGTATGAAAGTTCCTTTCTATTGCTGGTCTTACACACTAGAGTATGTTTTATCCTGGTGTGGCGGATGGCAGAACCCATTTAGAACTGGCAGGTTTGGGGGTCCTAAGTATCCCTCATTCTGCCTGTTAACAAGTAGATCTTCTACCAAGAAGTTGAGATAAAAACTGCACTTGTCTCCAGTGTGGAGGGGCGTGTGTCCCGCCTGCTCCCCCGTCCTCCTGCTGATCACACCACACGTGGAACACAACTTGTAACTCATCCATCACGCTTGTTATTTCTCTCTGTGTGCACCAGCGTGACCGTGTGCCGAAGCACCTGTGTCCTCCAATCACTCCAGAAAACACGTGTTCATCAGGAGCTCAACATGATTTTTCAATCTAAGTTCATAAAATGATATTCTCGATCCCTAAAAACTGATCAAATTTAAATAAACCAAAATTGACCAGAACATGTGTGTTTGTTTCCTCCTCTTACACATCAAGTTTAGTTTCAGAAGCCAATAAATGGAAAGATTTTTATATTTGCTACTTTAGGGTATTATTTCTATAGTGGGGACTCTGCATCCATTATATCACTCTTTGGAGGTAAGATATTTTTTAATAGCTTCTATTAATCTCTATTTCTAATCTTACACAAATGCATAAATGTGGTCCTACACATGCTTTCTATAAATAAAAAATAGTTTTTTGACTTGGTTCCAATGTTTTTTTCCAAATCGCCCTTTGCATTTATATATTCCTTTGCATAGAGGCTTTGGGGTGTACATGTACTGTAAATATATACATGCGCTTCAGATTGTTACCATTTGTCTTTTTCCTTATTTTTATTGCTTAACAATAACCGATAGAAACCCCACCAAATAAGGCAAATATTAACATTTCCATTTTCCAGATGAGAGAATTGAGATTCCTGTTTAAGTGACTTGCCCGTAGTGCCAGGGCTCTTTCATGGAAGAGATGGGCTTTGGACCTATGGCTGCCTGTCTCTACAGCACATCCTCAGTGAGCACCAAAGGGCAAACAAAAACTGAAAAAAAATTTTTAATTGGTAATTTTGCATGCTTTTTCCTTGTTTTCACTTTTTTTAAAAAAAGATTTATTTATTTATGTATTTATTTATTTATACAAGCACTGGGTACAGTCAGCAGCACGGGAGGGTGAGAGAATTCACCAGAGCCAGAGCGGGGAGCAGAGCAGGCAGAAGGACCGAAGTACACTGCTGAGGGGAGCAGCAGGCGGCAGGAGAGGTCTGCGCGCCATGTGGGACCCTCCTCCGGTGGCCGGGGAGCAGCCGGGGATCGAACTGGCGCCACAGAGGCCGTGGGCAGCTTCGCAACCCAGCGCTCAACCGCTGCGCCACTGGGGAGGCCCCCCAAAACTGAAAATTTTAAATACACAAAAACAATTCCCCCAGCTTGGAATACATTTCTCAGGATCAGAGACAAATTCTCATCAGCTTATGTGTCAAAAGCTTTCTCTCATACGTTTACGCATCCACTTAGAAACCCCTGCTAATCACAGAGCAGGCACCGTGGAGGCCCAACAGTAGAAGCAAGTGTGGCAAGGATGCTCAGGGGCATCCTCCTGATGGGGCCAGACAGGAGGGTGCCCCCCGGGGCCTGTTTACCTCCAGCTCGCCACAACAGACTCTGCCGGGACTACAAGGAAACCACCACCTGAGGTGATGCAACAGCCGCTTCCAGCCAGACAAGCACAGTCACACTGGTCAGAGTCCTCAGGTGCCACCTGCCACTGAGGGGCAAGCCAGCCCCGTGTCTGAACTGGAGCCCACTCTCAAAGCCGCCTGTTCTCACCCTCCTTCCTGCTCCACTCACAGCTTGATATATCAGTATATTTTGCTTCTTTATCTGTTTGTGTTCTTTCCCCAAGAGGCTGTAAGTTCCATGAGGTCAGCGTTTTTTTAATTTTTCTTCATTTGGTAGCCCTGCTACCTACCAGAGCAGCAGACACACAGTAAGTGCTAAATAAATGTTTGCTGAAGGAGGAGATCAAATGTCCAGCAAAACCGCCAACGTCCTGCTAGAGCGCAGCGTAACCATCTTGTCAAAACAACTCTCCTTCTCCACCTTGCATTTCATCACTTTCTCCTCCTCGCCCTGTACCACTGCCGGGACAGAGCCAATGGCTCACACAACCCAAGACCCTTTACATGAAGCCCAGAGAAGCAAAACATTCCCACTTGCTCATTACATCGTGTAAGTCTTAACACTGTTCATTAAGTGGATTGCAAGAAATTCCTGTTAAAAAATCAAAATAGGCGGCAGAATACTGTGGGGAGAGGGAAGCAGAGAAAAAAAGGAAAATTCACAGTTATTAGAGATATAAATGCCGTCCCCACCAAGGCCAGGACTCAGTGGCTGCGGGCAGTGGATCACAGGCGGCATCAGTATCTTTTTATCAAAATTCCTTTAAGATCCTACACCAGAGCAGAGACTCGGATCCACCTCAGCGGTGCTGGCGTCTTTCTGAGAACACAGTAAGCACATGATGGGGTCACATGCACCTTAAGTTCCAGCTGCATCTCAGCATCAGTAAACTGTTTGACTCCTGGGTTCCAGGAACAAACAGAAAGCACCAGCTTTCCAGAACTGCACTGATTTTATGGCACGGTCAGGGCCGAGGAAAGGATGTTCCTTACGTTTTGCCAAACAGCAGCGGAAACAAAGGTGGAAGAGCAGAATTGGAGAAGCACGTGGAACATGAAGAGAACAAGCACTTCCTTTCATTTTATGGCCATGATTCAGCCCAAAACTATTTCACACATGACTGGGACACACCCGGCAATGTGACCGGAAGTGACCTTAAGAGCTGACGGTGTAAGAAAATGTTTTCAAAAGTTCAGGGCACAGAAGCTGGTTAAGTTACAGATTGAGGGCCTCCCCAGTGGCGCAGCGGTTGAGCGCTGGGTTGCGAAGCTGCCCGCAGCCTCTGCGGCGCCTGTTCGATCCCTGGCTGCTCCCCGGCCACCGGAGGAGGGTCCCACATGGCGCGCAGACCTCTCCTGTGGCCTGCTGTTCCCCTCAGCAGTGTACTTTGGTCCTTCTGCCTGCTCTGCTCCCCACTCTGGCTCTGGTGAATTCTCTCGCCCTCCCGCGCTTCTGACTGTACCCAGTGCATGTATAAACAAAACAAACAAACAAACAAACAAATAAAAACATGCCTCTATTAAAAAAAAAAAAGTTACAGATTGACTGATCTTCATCTTCCTGATCCATGAAAATACTCAGGTCTGGCTAGTGAGCTGGGGAGGAAACTAGCCTGCATCACTCCCAAACCAGAACATTTGTCAGTGTAAGAAGCAACAAGGTCCTTATTTTCTTTGCCTCGTGACAAGTAACATGAGGCACTGGCTGTTCTGTCAGCCAACATCCTGAAGTGTGGAGATTTGGGGCAGCGTCCCCTCCTGAGCCATTTAGAGGTGGATAATGAAGCGATGAACTGCTAGAATTATTTGTCACTGCGTCGTAACCTAGCTCATCCTAACTGCTAACGACAACCACCAGAGGTCAAAATGAAAAGAAAATGAAGTAAGCAAGTACTTAGAGTAAGTAAGAAAGATTTGGACAGAGATGATAGCAAAATTGAGTTGCTCTAGAAATTCTATTTTAAAAAAAATTATGTGTGGTAACCTTTTAAAGAAAGTACAGAACTATGAATTCAATTATTTTAAGACAAAACAAAGCACAAGCTTTCTTTGATGCAAAGACCAATGGTCATTTTTCACAGAAACTAAATGCAGTGAATCTTCCTTAAATCTTTTCATCTCTCTCCAATTTTGGGGGGGGGGGAAGTGGGGGGAGAGACAGAGAGAGACACTGGCACTTCATACGTGGGTGTCAACCCTTTGAAGACCAGGAAGAGAGAAAGAGGAGAAAAAAGTCAAGCAGGCGACAGTGATGTACTGACCTTCTGGACTGTCGTGGTCAGGTCCAAGCAAAGCTGAATGATTTTGTTCTTCGTTATTGAGAAGTCAGTGATCCCTGTAAATGGAGCCCTAGCAAACAACAAAATTCTCTTGAAGAAAAAAAAAAAGCAAGAGGCAGGGGGACCCCCTGGATCCCACACTGTATGCTGAGAAGAACAGCTACACAACAGCCTAGTTAAATGAGTGGCTCCATAGCTTTTCCTCTCACATAACACAAAATTGGAATCTAAATAGAGAAAAAAGAATGAGATAAAAAACAGCAAAATTGAGACTCTCCCTTTGGAAGTCAGCTAATAGCCTTCATTCTGCCCAAACACCCCATCATTAATGTTTAACCTCAGAAAACACGTTAGCACAGCTTCACGCTTCGCTCAGCTAAGGTTAATGTGTTCCTGCTCTTCCCCATCGAAGTGCTTTCCAAAAGGAACCACATCTCCCACTACCTAGAGCTCCTGGAGAGTTCCAGTGGGAAGAGCCAGAAAGGGCCAAGGGTTCATTTCCCTAAGACAAAGGACAGGATTCTCTGCATCTTGGGTCCATCAGCAGAAGTTAGTAATCACGCCCCCAGCCCCTCCTCATGGGGCAGCACAGGTGCCCCTGACTTACCTGTCCAGCCACGCTAGCAAGGCCTTGGCGGCGCCTATGAGCTCCACCACAGAAGTCAGGAACTCATTGGAGGGCTTGTGGGAGGTGTTCCCGTCATAAGTGGGGCTTTTCCGTCGGCTGCTGATATAATTCTGTAAATTATGGGAAGAGGCTCGCAGTTTCAGTACCAAGTTCTTCATATTATCGGTTTCCAGGCCATAATTCTGTAGAAAACAAAATCAAAAGGAAAAATGTAAAACCATCGACAACATCCAAACTCTTACCATATCTCAAAAGCTTTCTCAGTGGCATGAATAACTCCTACAATAGCCACAAAACCCTGCGCAATTCACCCACAGCTGTGATCTCACCCACTCTGGCTGCGTGGGCTTCTCTCTGCTCTTCCTACAGCCTGCCCCTGCCCCAGGACTTTGTCCATGCTAATTCCTCTACCCAAAATGTGTCTCCTAAAAATCTTGCCACAGGCAAAGGCAGTTCTTTCTTAACACTATTATCCCAAATGTCCCCTCCTCTTCCAGGCTTCCCTCCTTAGTTCCTTGTAGGGTAGGTAAAAGGTAGCAGGCTTTTCTGCCCTCCCGCCATAAGGATAGATGAGGCAACCCTGAGGTCCCGAATGCATGCCTGATGGTGACACCTGGAGTAGGGTGTGGGCATGCGTAGATGGGATTCACCTGGGCTGAGAGTGGGCTTTTAAGGGCGGCGTCACGGGGACGCCAGCAGAAGCCAAGAAAGAAGCAGAAAAGCTGAGAAGCAGAAGCAGCAGAGCAGAGACCCAGAGAGAATGCAAGAGAAGGCCGGAGAGCCCAGATAGAGTGAAGACTTGCTGGGGGCTGGGAGGCCTGCCAGCCCCCTGGCCCCCCAGTACCCCTGCCTGCTGTGTACCTGGTAAACCCCAATAAAAGCCTGCAAAAAACCACTGAGGACTCTGACTCCTCCTTCACCTGGTCTGCTGGATCACAGAAAACCTGCACCATGTCCATTCCTGACCCTACATTCCTCAAGCTTGATCCTGCTAACATTTAAAAGTCCATCATTTGTTTTGACTGGGGGAAGATTCCTACACATTGCAAGATGTTCAGCAGTCTCTTCCCAGTGATATCAGCAACACCCCTTCCATGCTGGGCCAGAACGTGTCTCCAGACATTGCCAAATGCCCTCCAGGTGACGCTCGGTACCTGCCTGCCACTCTCGGAACCACCTTGCTCGCTGTTGCTCCCTCCCGTGGACACTGGTCTGAGAGAGCCGGGCTGTCAAAGTGTGACTCGTGACTACGCCCCAGCCCAGCAGACAAAAAACGGTCACTGGAAGGATGGACCCCATCGGGGTCTCCTTACACAGAACCGAGCAGCCCTGTCAGCCCACCTGAAGTTAATTTCACCTGAAATGAGTGAGTCCCACCTGTGCTCTTTCTGGATAATGTTCCACTTGCCTAGGTGCTTTTAAAAATTCAGTTTTGGGCCTCCCTGGTGGCATAGGAGTTAAAGTCTCAGCACTATCAAGCTGTAGGGTAAGGTAAAATGTCAGGCTTTTCTGCCCTCCCGCCATCAGGATAGATGATGGATCCTTGTCCTGAATGCATGCCTGATGGCGGGCACCTGGAATAGGGTGTGGGCCTACGTAGATGAGATTCACCTGGGCTAAGACTGGGCTTTTAAGGGCAGCGTCACGGGGACGACAGCAGAAGCCAAAGAGAAGCCAAGAAGAGCAGAAGAAGCCAAGGGAGAAGCAGAGAACGCCAGAGAGCCCAGATAAGAGTGAAGACTTGCTGGGGGCTGGGAGGCCTGCCAGCCTCCCGGCCCCCCAGCATCCCGGCCTGCCATGTACCTGGTAATCCCAATAGAAGACCTGAAGAAAACCACTGAGGACTCTGACTCCTCCTTTACCCGGTCTGCTGGATCAGAAAACCTGCACTGTGGCCAGTCCTGCCCTTACAATTGGCTTAAGTCGGCAAGATGATCCATGCAGACGGGTCTGGAGCCCTCCGAAGACCTGGAGGGACTAAGGAGTAACAGACTGTTTCCCTGTGACGATGCTGGAGGCGTCATGGAGGCACAGGAGATGGACGAGGTCCAAGAGCTGCAGGATGAGACCTCGTGTGGAGGAGACGCCCGAGAGGACCAGCCAATGACCCCTGAGGCAGCAAGAATCATCGGCGAAGAGAGGACCACGATTCCGAGCTCGCGGGTGCTGATTCAGGGAGAGGCCAACGAACTTGGCCTAATGGACTTGGACTGATGGACTCGGACTGATGAACTTGGACTGACAATCCCGCCAGAAGGCGGAGGACCTTGGCAGGTTATGCTTTTTTTGAGAATCTGGGAGCGGCCACTGGACCTTGATGGCCAAAAGCAGCCTGTGCATGCCCAGCAGCCAGGCAGAGGAGAAAAGCCAAGTGAGAAGGCAAAAGCTGGTGCTGATGCTAAGTTTGGGAAGCCTTGAGCGGCTGTCAAGCAGCCTGGGTATGCTGAAGCCCTGTGAGTCTCGTAACATCACCTGTGGGTGATGCCCTGCTCATTCTTGAGTGAGGGTGAGGAGCTGAGGAACCTGTCCTTGGGGGACGGGTGGGGAACGTGGCTTGGGGTGGAGCCCAAGCCGCATGTGGAGTTTGGATCCCCGACCCATGTGCTTGTGCCGTGGGTTGGCCTGAGTGCAGGGGTCTGCGAGTCGCATGGGTGGCTGTGAAGGTCGAGTGTTGGAGCGACTGTAGACAAAAACCCCGAGGGTTGGCGATTACCCCCAACAGAATAGAATCGCCAATCCCAGAGCGAGTGCATCCTGGGGGTGGATGCTGTGTGTGGCTTGTAGCCGAGACTACAGCCAGAGAAGGCCAGGAAGTCTGACGGCTCCTGGCGTGTTGCAGTAGATGCCGTGAGTGGTTCCCCTCCCTCGTATGAGCAGAGCCTTCGGCAGCAGATTTGGTGGCTCGTCGGCTGGTACCAATAGTCTTTTGCCACTAGGTTGGGGCCCTGCCTGGACTTATTTGTGTTCTGTTGTATTTTGTTGTTATATTGTGATGTATTTGCTTTTGTGGGCCATGGCTGCATTGTTTGTTTGCTTTTTAAGAAAAATGTACATATGAAGACTATTTGGCAGAAAACCCTGAGGGGGTGGGCTGTAGGGTAAGGTAAAATGTCAGGCTTTTCTGCCCTCCCACCATCAGGATAGATGATGGATCCTTGCGGTCTAGAATGCATGCCTGATGGCGGACACCTGGAGTAGGGTGTAGGCATAGGTAGATGGGATTCACCTGGGCTAAGACTGGGCTTTTAAGGGTGGCGTCACGGGGACGACAGCAGAAGCCAAAGTGAAGCCGAGAAGAGCAGAAGCAGCTGAGAGAAGCAGAGAACGCCAGAGAGCCCAGATAGAATGAAGACTTGCTGGGGGCTGGGAGGCCTGCCAGCCTCCCAGTCCCCCAGCACCCCTGCCTGCCATGTACCTGGTAATCACAATAAAAGACCTGCAAAAAACCACTGAGGACTCTGCCTCCTCCTTTACCTGGTCTGCATGGGATCAGAAAACCTGCTCAGTGTCCATTCCTGTCCTTACACAAGCTATTGCCAGCCACTGTGGCACAGTTCGATCCCCAGCTGGGGAGCTGACCCACATGGCGCAGCAGACCTCTCCAGTCTCCCCCACTGCTCCCCTCAGCAGTGTATTTCAGTCAGTCTGCCTGTTCTATTCCCCACTCTGTCTCTGGTGAATCCTCTCACCTCTGGCCTACACTCCAGTTCTTACATGCATAAATAAAATAAATTTAAAAAAAAATTTAAATAAAATATAAACTCAGTTTTGTGTCGCCATAGTGCACTAGACTTCCTTTCAGATACAGAACAAACCCCAGGAAGCTACATGTAAAACTGGGATGACCTTGGCAGGCAGGGAGGTGATTTCTGTCACCTGTACACAGCCTGAGTGGTGATTGTCATCTTAACAAAAAAATGGAGATATTTCTGGGTTATATTACACTGTGTCCATAGCAACCCAATGGAAGAATATTCTATCACTTAAAAATCGGGAATATTGAGGCCTCCCTGGTGGCGCAGGAGTTAAAGACAGCGCTATCAAGCTATTGGTAGCCACTGTCGCACGAATTCGATTCCTGACCAGCCAGGGAGCTACCCACATGGCGCGGCAGACCTCTCCTGTCTCACCCGGTGCTCCCCTCAGCAGTGCATTTCACTAAATCTGCCTGTTCTGCTCCCCACTCTCTATGGTGAATCCTCTCACCCCCAAACTTCTGACCTGTACACTAGTTCTTGTGTGCATAAATAAAATCAATCTTTAAAAAAATTAAAATAAAAATCGGGAATACTACAGTGTCTGACATGGCTGAACAGTTACTCTACGCTAAGTGCTTGACAAGCATTATCTCTGTAAACAGTCTGTGAAGGTGGAAATACCAGCCTCTGATTCAGAGGTGAGGACACCTTAACTAAGCTCCAGAATGGCACCGCTAAGCAGTGGTGGGGGGATTTGTGTCTAGACATCTGCATGGGGAGCACCAGTTGAGATCCTCCCTGCCCCACAGTGCCCACCCCAGAAAGGGCAAAGTGCTGGCACAGAAAACGGGTGGGCACGGCGCAAGGGAAGGGACAGTAGCCCTGATCCTGGATCCAGCACAAGCTAACAAGCCGCTTAGCTCCCCAACTTCAACCCCAAGGGCCCTACCCCCCTCGCAGAGGGGACCCTACCTCACAGAGCTGAGACGAGCAGCCTCCATGGCCCCTCCTTCCCTCCGGCCTACATCTGGGGTGCCCTGGGGAGGGGCAAGGCAGGCCTCCAAATCAAGATCTATATAAAGCAGGAGCATACTCGGGGGAGGGGGGGCGCTCATGAGAACAACTTTTTTTTTTGGCAGGATGAACAATAGGTAAGTAATGACAAAAACAACAAAAGACTTGAACCTGAATGAAAATGCTAATACCCACAATAGCCAAGTCATGGAAACAACTTAAAAGACCATCAACAGACAACTGGATGAAGAAAGTGTGGGATACACACTCGGGAACCCTACTTAGGCATTTACAAAGATGAGATAATATGGATGAGCCTGGAAGGAATATGTCAGGCAATAAAAGATGATTTCACAAACTGGCAAAAATAACTCAGACTCTGAAAATATGGTGTTCACAGAGGGGGCTGATGGAGGGGCTGGGAGAGTAACTGAGCTGCAGTTTTGGGGGAGGGCGAGGGAAGCGTGTGCACATCTTGAGGTGAAGTTATGCGCCCCAAATTATACAGTTTTGTAAATGAACGCAAATCAAAAAATTTGAGAAGACAATGCTAACTTTACCCAGATTTTCTTTGAAGTTTACATGCCTGTTTTTTCCTCATAAAATAACAAATACTTTTTCAGAGACTAGATGGAGTTAAGTATAAATATAAGGGGGAAAACCTTCCCAGGTCCACTCACTAAGAACTGTCTTTGGTAAGCTTGAAAAAAACCTGTAAATTTCATAATAAAAATGAATTTCTATATTAACAGTCCTGTCCTACATAAACTTTGTATTCATTCTTTTTTCCTCACTATGCTTTTTTCTAGAGACTAAAATATGCCATTGTCCTTCAATAAAGAAGACAAAAATAAAAAGATGGATTTTCATCATGGCTTTTTAAATTCAGAATCAAAGACTCCCAAGTGCATGGAGAAAGGCCACAAGACACAGCTTGTTTGGAAGGACTTGGGACTCTGATTAAAGGGGAAATGTCCCCTCAGTTAACCAATTACTCGGCCTGCCAACTCACATCCAGAGTTTTGATCTAAAAAGCAGGAAAGTCAGCTTTCTACAGCCAATGTCACCATAAATTACGGGAAACTTTTATTACTATACAGAACATTTACCCCTTAAACTCAAAGAAGATTAAATATATTTTAGTGTTGCAATAAGTTTAAAGCCTGAATCTTTTACAAGAAGTCTACCACTTTTTTTACTGATTAAAATAAACAGGGAGTGTAGCTGCTTAACCATTTTTCATACAGACCCAATTAGATTTATTTTTCCCCAAAACAGATCACGTGACTGGGAGGGTGAATAGATGCTGCTATAATAGAATATGATTTTGGAAAGAAGGCACAGAGTTGGGAAGGAAAATTCCTTTTCCTTCCACCCCATTCCGCAATGAGAAGAGAACAAGAAACTGATTATATTAGCTCAAAAGAAGCTCTACTACAGCAACATAATCAGGAAAGGATTATTGACTGAAGTGCCCACAATGAAAGACAGAAAATGAGTGAGTTCTCAGACAGAACAGAAGAAAAGGAAAGTAGCAGAGGCCTCCACTTGTGGTGCTTTAGATTATATACATTTTACCAGAGTACAAAATGTACACAACTCTCTACCTTCCTCTCCCATTTTACTACTGGCCCATGATCCAACAGACCTGATCAAGGTGTGTCAGAGGGACACAATCAAAGTCACCCCCTGCCTGACTTGGGTCAAATAAGTCACAGCCTAAGAAATATACTTCACACTTTTCCCTCATCAGCAGATCAAGTCAAACACAAATTGCCAGCAGAGTCCTCTTCCTGCATGTTTCCCCCCATAAAAAAAGAGCCATATTTTGAATGATTTTCCATGGATCAGTAATCTCAGGGGTACAGAGTATGCATAAACAGGGGTACAGACACTGCAATTATGTCGCTTAATGCACCTTCAGGGGCCCATTCTGACTGTCTACTTTCTGAGCCTACTTCCACCTTTAATACACAGGGGACTTGAGCCTGGTTGACTTGGCACAGTATCTGGTTACAATTACACTTTGTTGCTCTCATCACACCCTGGAGACCAATGCTATTCACACAACTTTCTGTTCTCTATCTGCTGGTCCTATGGCCCCAAGCCACAGCGGCTATGGAGCAATTGAAACACAGCTAGCAGAGCTAAGGAAGTGTATTTTATTTCATTTTAATTTTCAATAGTCACATGTGGCAATAGCTATTCTACTGGACAGAGCAGCTCTGGAGTCTGTCCCAGAGCTGCACCAGAGAAAGCAAAATGGGGCTCACACTCCGAATGCAATCCTGGGGAGATATGCACATCACAGGAGCCCACTCCAGCCCGCCAAGATCAGTGTTCACAAAAGACTCTCCATCCACCACCAGGCACTGGTGGCGCCTACCTGCTCACCGGTTTTGAAATCACAGTCAGTAGCTGTTCTTGTCTTTAGGAAACCTCCTAGTGTTTTTGTCTTGGCCTCCCTCTTCCTTACTTGTGATTCTATTCATTTCCTGTCCATCATAAAGTCAACATCCACTAAACTCAAGTTTACATAAAAACCCGCTTCATAACACCAGAGCCAACTGAAAATACAAATTCACTCCTCAGGGGATGGATTGTTCAAGGCAAAGAATTACTACCCATTTGTAAATACAAAGATCTATTTGGTGTAAATGCACTAAATAGACAATTCATATAGGCATTACAGGAAGAATATTTTAACAGGAGATTAGATCAAGATGAAAGATACTCTACTAGAACTCTCTTACACCCTCCTCAACCCAGTACAGTCATGTTCAGTTGTGAACCCTCCTGGGACCCTGTCAAATGCATTCCCCGGCACCTCACTGCACACAGCACATCCAGAATGAGTCTGAGGTCAAAACTTTGGCTACAAAGGAAATTAGAAGGAAATCATAGGAGATAAAACACAGCCTCAGGTTCTGGCATTTGTCCAGCTTTGTTCTCTTTAGGCTAAGATGTGAAGAGAAGGGGGAAGGGCTGGGAAAGCCAAAAGGCAGCTGCTAAGTGTGGTTTCCCACCTGATGTGCACAAGGTGTTCTAGTCTGCTCTCTGCCCCGGCTCCTTTTGTGACTCTCAAAGTAAATCAAAGACCTAAGGATCGCCACAAAGTGAAAGAGAGAATCCAAATGAGCAGAAGTAACCAAGAAGCGACTTTTCCAGAAAGGCTAATGAAAATAGACTTAAACATAATTTACCTGATGAGACACATAAAATGTTAACAATGAACAGCAGGAGTCTCAGGCAGAGCCCAACACTTGCACATTAACACAGGGCCACCCCCGAATCACCGTGCAGATGGGGAAAACAGACACGCCACCTCCCTGGGGGTGAGCGCTCGCAGCAAAGCCAGGAGCCGAAAGCAAGAAGCCTGCCTCCCGGGCCAGCGCTCATCCCACTTGGCCACCGAGTCTCCCCGATGGCAGCTCATTTATCAACCACAAATAATTTCCCCATTACTTTCCTAAACAAGAGCAGCACATCCCAGAGCAGAGGACAAGGCTGTGTCCATTTTAAGAAGAAGAACACACACCGCCCGGCAAGTGTTATATAATCAACGGAACGCAGACCAGTAATGGCAAAATAATAGTGAGCACATTCTTTCCCACCATTCTCGGTGATGTAATTGTATATACCCCCGGCTCAGGTTCCCGGCATGACTAAGCCAGGCTGCAACCGCCGAGTCTGTCTGCATCCTGACAGTTAAGGAAACTGCATCCTCAGGATGGCACCGTGTCGCGCAGACGTGGGCCCCAGCCTATGCCAAGCAGTTGGTAATCCCAGCACCCTTGCAGGCCTTCAGCCCTAAAGAGCTCCCCACCCAGCCACAGGTGTCCCCGAGCCTCAGAAGCTGGCAGGATTTAACTCCCATTCAAGCCAAAGCTCAGGCATCTGCAAAATGTACATTCACATTTTTCCCAACTAGCGAACATTCCATGGGTTGATTGTCTCAAGCACGGTTATTGAAGCATCACCTAGAACTGTAAAACTCAAAATGCTTTTAATAGTAATGAAAACAGAACTGAAAATAAAAGCATTTCCCTTCGATTTAGAAAATGACATTTTTACTCGTTCCCATATTTTTATTTTTTAGAGGAGATAAGAAAACAGAACTAACACACACTTTTCTATAAAAGACAAACTTTTTTTCTAAAGGGTAAAGTAAATATTTTAGGATGTGGAAGAATACAGGGTCCCTGCCACAACTACTCAGCTCTACCCGCGGTGGTGAGGATAACCACAGACCATATGCAAATGAACGGGCAGGACTGTGTTCCAATAAAACTTTATTTACACAAATAGACACTGGGTGAGCTGTAGCTCCCAGGCCAGAGTCTGCCCACTCATTCTAGAAAATGCCTTGTTCCAGTTCATGCTTCACTTTAATGGGTCATTAAGAAAATGGCAACACGCTAAACAGCAATGAGGACTGAGGAGAGCAGGGTTCCCAGCACAGACGGCCTTTTCCTGAACTAACCAGTGCACAGAGAAGGTCCACAGCCTCCAACACGAGCTCCTGGTGCCCGATCCGGGTGACACCCAGCTCCTCGAGATCCTGGTGGGAAATCTGCAGCAGCTGTTCTCCGTTTATCTTCTCCCGCTCGAACTTGTGGACATACTGCTGCAGGCAATCATCCAGCCCTACCAAAAAAGCAAAAAAGGCCATTATTGTCATTTCGTTTCCCTGACCCAAAGAACTGCCCAGTGTCAGTCAATCTCAGGAATCACCAAATATGCTCCCGCCTCGGATTAACGTTGTGAACACATTATATCAACATGTCATGAACGCCTTGCGGTTTGTCCTCAATTTCTCTCTTTTTTATCAAATTTATCTGTGATCAAGCTTTCATTTTTTTATTTTATTTATTTTTTACATCATTTTTCATTTTTGCACAATGTATGCATTTTCGTCAATTTCTCATCTCAAACAGATTTTAAATGCACAGCTTAAAATTTTCAGATGTGGGCCTCCCTGGTGGCACAAGGGGTTAAGCACAGCACTGTGAAGCTCTCCTCAGCCTCTGCAGCTCGAGTTCTATCCCCAACCAGCCAGGGAGCTACCCACATGGCGCAGCAGACCTCTCCTGCCTCGCCCGCTGCTCCCCTCAGCAGTGTATTTCAGTGGATCTGCCTGTTCTGTTCCCCACTCTGTCTCTGGTGAATCCTCTCACCCCCCGCACCTCTGGCCTGTACCCCAGTTCTCGCATGCATAAATAAATAAATCTTTAAAAAAAAATTCAGATGGATCCAGAACAATTTTAGGATGGCTACCTTCCTGTTCTCTTTCAATTGAAAGAACAAACACTGAATCCCCACTGACTTGACACCCTAGTGATCACACTCAACACGGGTTTGTCTGCTTGTGAAGTGACTCTTCCTTTGGGACACCAGCCCTCTCCCAGTGGGGGTGGGGAAAGAAGAGGTTGTGGGGGGAAAAAGGATGTCTCCATAATATCCTATGTGCTCCTAAATCTAACCCCACCGAAAAATACTTTACTTCCACCCCTAGATTTTTTCACTGAAATTGAAAGAAGTCTTTTCTGAGCTTAAGCTTTCTTATGCTGCATTTCCGGCCCTTGCAAAAAATAAAAGTTCTGATGAATATAGAAACCAACAAAGAAGGTACCAACAGCAGAACCAGAGAAAGGCCATGTAAAATGGGTTAGCTTATGGGAATTTTTCCAGGTCAAACCTTACTGCCAACAGAGTTGTATTCTAAGACTCTTATATAATGATTAAATTAGGTGAGCCAAATAGAACTCTGGACTCTTTATTCCGGCACAGAGATGCTCCGGTCAACTTGTTTTCATGGTTTTACTGTAATAAAATTTTACCCTGAATGAACTGATCTATTCAAGCCTTATAATAAAAGCCACCTTCCTGTTTTAAAGGTTTTTATAAATTCAATCCTAACACAAAGGATGAAAACTCAATTAAATTAGAACAAAGTATATGGCAGGCAGGCTGCTGTCCAGTACACACACACACACACACACACGCTTCGTCTGCCCCTTTACAAAAGCTCTGTTGTGTGGATGGTCTGAGGAAAGTGGCCACAAGGACAGCATTGCTTTTGGCAATAAGTCAAGTCCGGGATCTTAAAATCTGACCTCCTGGACCAAAGGACAGTTCTGTCCCACAAACGTTCACCATTTGCCTCCTGATAAGATCCAGAAAGGAAGAATTTGCTGATAACCACTGAGGCTACCAAGTGACAGGCAGAGGCAGTGTGGAGAACGTGGACTTACAGTAACCAACTGGACCCAGCCCAGACCCAGTCTGAAGACACTCGTGTCTAGCAGAGGGGGGCTCCGTCCCAGAGCAGGCAGGACCCCACGTCAGCCAGCTCTACCCTGAGAGCCCCAAGCCACTCCAGCCTCTGCATGTGGGACTTGGCAGGAGGGGAGGCCAGCCATTCAGCAGGTGCTGAGACCCATGTCCCACCTGGGCCGAAGGGACAGCTCAGCCAGATCACCCAGTTGGTCTGCAGTGGGGCAGCACCCGCCTACAGAGGACAGCAGTGACCAGGCCCAGGGCCAGGAGCCGCTAACCACCCCTTACACTTTGTAGATGGAACCATGGACAGGCTCGGGGTGGGCAAGTGACCTGCCACAGTCCAGAGCTGGCATGATGCCAAGAAGGATTTTTATAGGCATTATCTTCAAGTTGACACTGAAGGAAGAGTTGGAATGCAAAGCAAGGTCTGTTGGACACAAGCTCTGTTGTACAACACAGCTGCTGAAACAGAACCACAGAAACACAGAGGTTCTTAGAAGGCACTCCAGGCCTCCTGGAGCTCAGAACACTGCAGGGGATGGACAAAGGACTAATTGTGGATTGTACCCACAGACTTCACCAGGTCTAAGCCAGTTCACAACCAACAGCCTACATTCCTCTTCAGCAGCCCTCTTCCCTTGCCCACCTTTAGGCATCAAAAAGGATTTTTGTCTTAATGTGTCATCAAAGTTTAGGTCAACTAAATTGTACATTTCAACCTTGTGATGACTGGATTGCTCTCCCCGAGATTCCTAAGTTGAAGTCATAACCCCAGAAGCTCAGGGCATGACTGTATTTGGAGAGATATCTGTCTTTCAAGAGGTGACGGAGTTCAAATGAGGCCATGGGATGAGTCCTAACCCAGCAGAACTAGCTCCTTTTAAGAGAAGATACACAGAAAGGCCAGGAGAAGATGCAGGGAGAAAGTGGTTATCTACCCATGGGGAGAAACCAACTCCACGCTAAACAAGGACCAGGAGAATTCACATTCACACTGATGTGTCCCACACATCCATCACTCAACGTACAGGCTCAAGGTGGGCGAGTCGTCACAGTTTCCACGTGCAGGATAAATCAGTCCATTCAACTTTCAGGACACCTTGCACAAAGTATTAAACGTCATCCCTGAATAAGAGGTAGCCATAAAGATGGAGCCAGATTTCCCTTTCATTAACTGTGAAAAGATTCACTGGAAAGACAGGATTTCAGAAGTAACTTCAGAGAAATAAGGAAATGTTTGGGGCACAGAAAAGGATGAGAGGGAAGGTCCAGTAAGGGTTAGAAAGGATGAAGGTTATAAATAATCCAAGGTTGAGAACCTGAAGAAAACATCTTCCTGGGCCTCCCCGGTGGCTCAGCGGGTTGAGCGCAGCGCTGTGAAGCTGTCTGCAGCCTTTGCAGCACCGGTTCGATTCCCGGCCAGCCAGGGAGACTCCCACACGATGCGGCAAACCTCTCCTGTCTTGCCCGCTGCTCCCCTCAGCAGTGTATTTCGTCAGTCTGCCTGTTCTGCTCCCTGCTCTGTCTCTGGTGAATCTTCTCACCCTCCCGCACCTCTGGCTTGTACCCCAGCTCTTGTATAAATCAATAAATAATTTAAAAAAAAAGAAAAAAAAGAAAACTTCTTCCTGAAAAGGGGCCCAGAATCATCCTAGGCTCCTGATGGAGTATGACTGACTAACCATGAATCATCACAAGAGCCTTGAGAGGTAGGAGAATTATGAATTAAATGATCCCGCTGTTATCGACCTAAAGTGCAGAAACTAGAGCACCTTCAAGACCTTCCCCTCAAGGGACACACACTCGAAGACTACATTAGGCTTGAAAGAGTAATGCCCCTTTATTATTCCAAAACATCATGGCCTATTGTTCAGGTACTCTATTGTATAGAATACAATTGAACATTTATAAACAGCTAAATTAAACTATCGTGTGAACCTGCCACCCCCAAAGGAGGGGAAAATCCCTTTTTAAATTCACTGGTTAGATTTTGCAGCAAACCACACACTTTTACCCATTTGTCAAATATACTTATTCGCCAGTTCTTTGCCTCAAGGAACTTAGAAAAAGACTAGCAGCTCTGAGCAAAATAACCCAATACAAGGAGATCAGACACAAATCATTTACACAAATTAGACATATAATTCAACGTGAAAGAATCATGAGGGTAAAAGCAGAAACATGCCCCCAGAACGGAAGCCACAGTTTGAGATAACCCAGACGTTCTCCATTGTCAGGAAAGCTGGCTGTCCACTCTCCTAACCTTCCACGGACATCCCAAGTGCAAAAAGAGAAGCAAGAACTCTCGCCCCAGATGGGGAAAGGCATGGGAAGGGCTTAAGGGCCTGAGCTCCAACCCCAGCCCCATGTATGGTTAACACAGTGCCCAGTGCCAGGTGCTCAGTTCCCTCATTTGCAAAACAGGAGTATAATAATAATACCGACTACATAAATCTGTAATGAAAACCCAATGTTAAATAAAGAGCTTAAAATGCCGTGAAACACAGTAAATATTCCAGGTATTTTGTTAAATAAAAAGTTACGATTTATTCAGGTTCTCAAAGCTCCAATTATACAAAGTAAAAACTCAGACACACACAAGGACTCTCAAAAGCTTAGGGAGCCCCCTTTATAACAAAGTGAATTGGACATAAAACATACTCTCAATAGCCAATGTTATTATCTCCCCCAGAAAATATCCCCAAATTTGGGAGCCTGCATAGTCATCAATTCTACCTAAAACTAGTTGAGAACTGACATGAGAACAGAAGCACCGTGAAAGCAGAGGCTTCCTTTTGTTTACTGTTGATGCCCAGCACCCAGAGCATTGCTGCGACTCAACAGTATTTGTGAAGTAAAGAAATGAATTCTTCACATAAAGATTAATGTAACACCAATGCACATGTCACCCGATTTTGTTCCAAGCAAGTGAGTGACTCATGATAATGAAGGAACTGATTGTGGTATCAGTTACAAGTATTTTCTGCTACACGTTTCAGTGTTTCAAGATTAAAGGAGGTCATGTGTACATCACAAGAGAGATAGCACAGACAAAACAAAGCTCCAGTCTTTCACAAGACATTTGCCCTGTGCTAAGAATTCATTTTTAGTAATTAATCTCTGCAAAAAGTGGAAAGGATTGTATATCCCAAGATTAATAATTTGGAGTAAATAATACAAAGATCTAGAACTGTTCCCTTTTCTTGATGGGACTGACTAGCTATGTTAGGGCAGGTGAGACCCACTGGAAAGAACTTCACATCACTGTGTTTTCGGCCTGTGGGTCCAGGTTGGCAAAATTTCTAATTCTGGGGCCTCACTCGTGGCCTAGGGGTTGAGTCTCAGCACTATCATTACTATGGCCT